CTTTGACCAGGAGATTTCATTTCTTGGTGCACATCTTATAAAAATAGTACCCGTTCATAAAAATATATGTAACAGGATATTAATTGCAACATTATTGGTGAAGACAACAGCAAAATATATGTAACTTGAATGTTCATCAAGAGGAGTATGGTATATCTATACTGTGTTTCTAGAACTTAAAAAGAAATGAGAATAACCTCTATGTGCTACTATGGAAAGATTCCTAAGATGTATTGTTGAGTCCAAAAAGCAAGTTGAAAAACAGCATATATAGTGTGAACCTATTTGTGAAAGATTGAAAAGATAGAAATTAACTGTGTCTTTTAGATATAAATATTTGTATGTGTGTAGAAAATTTCTGAACAGATAATGTCAAAACATTGATGACAGGAGTTACCTGTGGGAAATGGAAGTGTGGGGTGGGGAATAAGAAAGAAGGAATTCCTTTGTTCCCTGTGTTCATCGCGATCATGTATTACTTTAATAATACAGTTATTGATGATGCTTTTGAAGATTTTTTTCCTAATGAAATGGGAACATGTTTAGGTTATGCTGTTGAAGGGAAAAACTAGAATTCAAAACTTTACACGGGATGATCACAGAATGTTGAAAAAAGATCATGTGTGCCTCTTTTGGTGTGTTTGAGTGTGTATATGTACAGGGGTCCGGGTGTGTGTGAATGGACAGACTGAGACTCCTTTCTGTAAAATGTTTTAAAAGACATTACACCCAAATGATGTCAATGGATTATTTTTATCTTCTTTATATATTCAAAAAAGAACTTATATCTTTATAATCAGACAACATCAATAAGAAGTTATTTAAAAATAATCTTTTTATTTATTGCATGCATCATGGGTTAATACTCAATTTGATCTTGCTGCTTTGGACGTTCTTGGACATCTAGCTTGCAGAGGAGAAAATTTGATGTAAAGAATGTTCTTGACCTCATTAATTATTTGCTCCCTAATCGTTTCATCTTTTAAAGATTTTTTTTTCTGTTTGCATGCTTGTTTTTTGTTAATGACTTTCAGTTCTTTACTTTCTTTTTCCTCTTTGCTTAGATTTTTAATTTTTAGCTCCCCTTTATTTTCTATTACTATGTCTTTACCCTTGGTCTGTCATTTGAAACCATGACTCTTTTTTGCTTTTATACCCTCTAAATCATAAATTATTCTTTCTGTATGTTCAGCCAGCCCTTAGAACTGTAGAGAATTACTATGCCAGCCATTCCTGTTTCATTATACAGTTAAATTTTCTTACTAAGGGCATATTATCTTTGACAGATATTTCTCAGCTCAGTTTGATTTAACAAACTTTTATGAGCCCTTGCTCTTTGACAGGTACTGTACCAGCTGTTCTGGTTAGAGAAGTGAATACATCAGTTACTACATTTACAATTTAAAGTTCAGCACCTCTGTCAGTTTTTAGTTTGACAATAAAATCAGCCAAAAGAGCTGCAGCTATAAATTTTGGACATAGCTGGACACATTTATTGCTAAGTGAAGGAACAGAAATATGTTCTAATTAAAAAGCAAATGTTTAATAAGCTGTCAGCACTTCTAACCCTTCTTGTTATAAAAAACCCCCCAACAAACAAACAAATAAAAAAACCCAAAAAACCCAAAACTGTTTTCATGTGCTGAAATTTTGAAATCAAACACATTTAGAAACATAGTCTTACTGGTTGGATGGCTGGTTAACAGTTAGAAGAAAATCCTTGGGTTTCTGGTGGCAGTGGTTTTGGCTTGTTTTTGGTATAGTTTAATTTGCTTTATGGTTTTCCCGTCCTCCACCATGTTGTCATCAAATAGCAAAACACATTCAGTCACAATATACAATTGGTATTTAATTTGGGGGACTATCTTTTTTTTTTTTTTTGAGACAGTCTCTTGCTCCATGCCCGGGCTAGAGTGTTGTGGTGTCAGCCTAGCTCACAGCAACCTCAAACTCCTGGGCTCAAGCAATCCTCATGCCTCAGCCTCCCGAGTAGCTGGGATTACAGGTGCTCGCCACCATGCCTGGCTAATTTTTTGTTTCTATTTTTAGTTGCCCGGCTAATTGTTTCTATTTTTAGTAGAGACGGGGTCTGATTCTTGTTCAGGCTGGTCTTGAACTCCTGAGCTCAAACAATCTACCCTCCTTGGCCTCCCAGAGTGCTAGGATTACAGGGGTGAGCCACTGCGCCTGGCATATTTTAGGGATTTGGTGTACATCAGCTGTCTTTTGATCTTAACTATGAATGATTCTGAATGGATTTAAAAGGAAAATTTGTAATCATGTATTTAAAAAGAAAAATAACTATCAGTATTCCTTAAAAAAAAAAGCCAGGTCAGAGAATTCATATCAATTACAAACTTCAAAAGAACAGTTTAATTTTTTATTTTATTTTTTGTTTTCAAAAATACTTTCGCTGAGTGATTTTAAACCCTTTGAAGTTTTTAATTAATTAATATCTCTGATACATTGTGAGAAGAGGCCTTTTTCTCTCTCCTGAGATGCAAGCTGAGGTCCCTCCTATTGAAATGTGTTATTGTATAATAGCACCTGTCTCTCGCTGAGCTTCATGTCTGCAGTCACTAAATGAGTGGGTGTACTCCCTTTTCTCTGGAACTTTTGAGACCAAGTCCTTTCAGAAAAGAACAAGAGAAAAACTAAAGTCATTTCCAGAGTTACTTGCCTTTGGGTTAGTGTTCACAAAGGAGAAAATTGAAGTGTAAGGAAAAATCTCAGAGAGAGAGATGAGTGTATGAAAATAGCTTTGCAGTGAATTGACTTTCTAAAAGTTTATTGATGGAGTTTGAGGGCCCTTCTAGCTCTGGTAATAAAAGTGGCAGGTTACGTTTTTCAAAGTTGAAAAGACAAGCCATTTATCACCCTATATTTAGCCAAGATATGCTTTTAGGTTAAAACTGAGACAATAATTGAAGGTTTTCATCTAGAGTGAATCATATGCACATCTATGTTTAAAAAGGTGTGTACTATTATAGATACATATATATATACACACACACATACATGTTGGTGTGCACACACATAAGTAATAATTGCTGGTTTATTATTAGGCTTGGCAGGCAGTATTCCAGCTATATACCTGAATTTGCCTACTGTTAATAACTGATACCTTTATTTATCTGTGTTTTAAATATAATCCTCTACTTTGTTATAGAAATATCCAAATATTTACAAAATGCATTATATATTTTTCCTGTCATTTAAAGGAAAAATATATATTTTTCCTGTCATTGAAATTTACTTTTTCTTAATTACTCAGTAGTAGAACTATAAAACTCAGTGATTATTCTCAAGTTTCTTTGGGCACATGTATCCAGGGCCTAGGGAGGTCTGGGGAGCCAGTTTTCTAACTGTGGGTAAAATGCAGGTAAAAGAGGATGAGGGAGTTTAGAGGGAAAAATGAGAATACAAAAGTAGTCATAACAGCTGAAAGAATGGATAAATCTGTGATCCAATTGATTTTATAAGTAGATAAATGCCATTATGACAGATCACTGGATTTGAAGACTCTTGGATTTTCTCAAGATAGTTTAGGCAATTTGGAACTTATGGCTTTATATTGGTAGAAAAGAGTTCTTGGAAATACGCCAGTTCAATTCCTGGTAAATGCTATTTCTGTTATTTTAATATCTTATGCTTCACTAGAATTTCACATTAGTCTGCAAGTGATTTGTAACAATTGGAAATATACTAAGTTTGGTTCGGCTCGTATCTTAGTCATACTTGCACCCTCAGCACTGAGCACCGTGCCAAGCACATAACAGATGCTCAAGAATTGTGAGTAATGATTTCCCCTTTCCCTGTAATGAGTGAAAAGAGAAAAAGTTAATGACATGATGATCCTCAAGGCCCAGGGCAATGGTTCACACGTTATTAGCACATATTAACAAAATAATAATACCTTAAATGATAATTTTGCTATTTAACAGAGTTTGTTTTTTTAAAGTTTTCTGAAAGAATGTGCTTGTTTTTTATTAGTTAAAAATACACACATACCTAACACTTTGGTTCTAAAAAGAGTGTGAGAAGGGAGATGGGGACGTATCATTATGGGGGCAGGGCAGACGTTATTCACAATTGCACTCATCCTTCCGTCTCATTTGGAGAAGTCCTTCCTATGAGTCTGGTCTCTTCCTTGCTCTAACTTTGAGATCACTGCCCTGGGTAGCCACTGCTCCTGATCATGTATTTTAGGACTGGAAAGACATGAGAATTATGTCTTTGACATCTCTACCTTTGACTTAGAGAAGCATTGCCTGCATTCTTGCACTTACAGATGCTTGGAAATGAGAATCACCTTGAAAATTTGTTTTTTGTAGTTCTTGTGTCATTTAAAATTAAGGTGTTTATTTTGGAGACTCTAAAGTTAATCATTAAGATGAAGGGCTAGGCTTTTTTGGAAAAGGTGAAATGGATAATCAGATTTTGAGTTAACCTATTTGAGATTCCTTAAATCATGCTTTAGTGTAGTGCTTCCCAACTTGATGAACTTTGAAACTCTTTTCAAGAAAACTAAATGTAGTGAACTCCCAGAATATGTCAAAAACTTCAGCTTGAAAAACACAAGTTAAACAAGGGTTTAACTACTGTTAAACCATCATTCACTTATGACATGGTATCATTTGATCTTTCGTTGCTGATAAATTAATCTTTAATACAGATACAAAGAAGGATAGTGAAATTGCTTGGCATAAATTTTGTTGTAAGGTGGTCATCCAGATGATCTAGAACATACACAAATTTCTTAAACATGACATTGATATGAAAAGACAAAATAAAGATTTATGTGCTTGGAACCCTTAGAATATATCTTTATACCCTAGTCTGTGACAGTCACCTCTTTAATGGAAATATACTTGGGAGCTGTTTAAAGTCACAGTGGAAAGAGGGCTCATGACAGAAGAAAAATTGTAAGGGCTGGGCATGTCGTGGGACTTCAACTGGTTTTGGAAAAAGTGGTAACTACTATTGCTGTTTTCCTTCAGCTCCCTTGTGAAGGATGCTTCTCCTGTTCCTCTGATTGATGTAACAAACCTCCCTACTCCTAGAAAATTCCTCGATACCTCTCAATATTCTATTGCTGGAAGTTCAAGTGGTAAGTATTCAAATGTTCCTAGGCCAAGACCTGGGGAAGCCTCTGGGGGCTGGGCTTAGAGGGCCTGACATGAGAGGCTGTGATGAGCCCTTTGCAACCTTCAGAGCAAGTAAGATACACAATCTTTGATTGGGCCTGTCGCATTACCAGGGCTGAAAACTGGCAGCTGAACCTGGCCTGCCTGCTGTATCCAGCTGTTGGTGTGTTTTATTTGACCGATACTGTTTTTCTAGAGTTTGCGTGTTTTTTGATAGAGTGTGTTTTCCTTTTTGCTGTAACCTGTATTAGCTTTTACTCACCTGTTTCATGGATTACATTGTATGTCTGGTCCTAGGCAGGTTTTGAGTGTGTGACCTCTGTCCTATGTCCTGATTCCCTTTTCATCTTCCAGTGGCTGCTCTGCTCCCAAATGTACCTGCATCCACGTATGCAAATACACTCATACATGTAACACACTTTGATGATGTGTCTACAAATGAATTGTTTCTTTGCTGGGGCTCTCTAATGTCCTGTTGAACAAAACAAAGGAGAAACATTTTGGGATATATTTAAGACATTTTGGGATATATGTATTTGGGATACATTATGGGTTGGGGGTGTGAGGATGTACTTTGAGTCTGCATGCAAAGATTTAAGGGAATCTTGTAGAGTGGCTCAGACTTGCCCCTTCAGAAAATTCAGCTCAGCTGGGTTTAGAGAACTTCTGGGCCTTTGCAGAGAGTTTCTCTGCCATTGCAGCTTTGGGTTGGGGGAGAAGAGGGGCTGGATGTCTTTTGTGGGATGCCTTTCAAGTGCCTTTGTGTGGCAGCCACAGTCTGCAGTGCCTTCTAAAGAAATGGTAATGCTTATTACTGTCTTATCAGATAAAATTTAGTTCTTATGGTTCTTTCTTTAGTTCTATAGAGCTCGAAAGAATAAAAAGGTAGAAAAATAATTTGGATTCAATCAATACATTTCATGTAACTAATTAAAAGTATTTCTTTTGAGAGCCTAACGATATTGTTGCTGAGCATATTTCATTACCCTTACAATGTCATTTAATTAAATTATTTTAGGGTTGTTTAGGGTTGGGATCTTGAAGTTTGTTACTTTTACAGTAGGAAAGTATAGGATTTTATAATAGATTTTTTCCTTTGTCAGTTTACTTAGTAACTGATCTTTTTAAAAAATCCAAAACACTTATTTTTATTATGATACTTTACAAAGGTTTGTGTTCAAGCCTCTTCTTGGAGTTAGAAAAGGTTTTGTTCTTTCCCTCTTTCTGATGTAGTGTTGCTTTTGAGTTTTGACAGTGCTCTTGAGCTATTATAGAGTGTGGAATTATGAAAGAGAGAATATGCTTTTGATTTATATTTTATCCCTGCCTTTTGTAGACATTACCAATTGTTACATATTTGCATTTTTATAAATGTGCATCACCACTGCTTAGCCTGGTTCTATTAATTTACGTAAACGTTGCCGATTCAATGGCGAAGTAAAATAAAAATTTTAATTATTTATAATGAAATGAGAGGGTAGGCTTTGCACATGAAAAGTATTGTGTAAATATCAAACAAACTGAAAATGCCAATTATGGTAAATTTCAGTAGAAACTAATTTGCTACATCTATTATTTTTAATAAGACAGGTCTTACTTTTTGATGGGCAGTTTTTCTGTCAGGTCCTGGAGTTTGAGTTTATCTCTTAGTAGAGTTTGTGTTTATCTCTTAGTGGAGTTTGTAATGACACTTTGACTTTGGCATTATTAGGAACAACTTAAAGAACCACATGGTAGTTTTGTGGACCTGGGACCATTATGGAGACTGCTTATAGAGATGTGTACAAATCTTTCTTTTTAGATGGGTTCATGTCCTTGACTGTTTTGAAGACTATTGATCTTGTGATTTTTTTTTCCTGTGGGTGACTGAAAAAGAAGGTAGTTAAAATATTATTGATTAAAATCAATAATAGCAGAGGTTAAGATGTATTTAGTGCCTCCTACATGTGAAGCAGTGTTTTAAGTGCTTTACATGAATTAACTAATTTAGTCCTTCAGCAATCTTATGAGATGGGTACTATTGTTAGCCCCGTTTTACAGATGAGAAAAGTGAGGCATAGGGAGGTTAATGTTTGCTCTAAGTTTACACAGCTAACAAATAGCTATGGTTTCAACTCACAAGCTAGGTTCCAGAATATGCTCCTCCAACCACTTGGTTGTGCTGAAAACAAGCTCTAGGTATCCTTTGTATTAATTTTCTATTCGCACAAACTTAGTGGCTTAAATAACATAAATTCATTATTTTATAGTTTTGTAGGTCAGAGGTCTAATTGGTCAGAGTCTTATTGGACTAAAATCAAGGTGTTGGCAGGGCTGTGTTCCTCTTTGGAGCTCTAGGGCAGGAGTCCTCAAACTACGGGCCACATGCCGCGCCTAGGACATTTATGCGGCCCGCGGGGTGTTTTTGTGCTGCTGCCTGTTCTGCTTAGCAGCTGACTCGTCCCTGGCCCACAGTGCGCACTCTCCAATGGTCTGAGGGACAGTGAACTGGCCCCCTGTTTAAAAAGTTTGAGGACCCCTGCTCTAGGGGAACATCTGTTTTCTTGCCTTTTTTGGCTCCTAGACGCTGCCACTCTCCTTGGCTCAAAACCAGCAACAGTGGGTCACATCCTTCTCACGGCGTATCTCCCTGTCTCTTCTGCCTCCTCCTCCTCCTCCTTTTAAGGACTCGTGTGATTAGATTATTTCCACCTGGATAGTGCAGGCTACTCTCCCCATCTCAAGGTCCTTAACCTTAATCACATCTGCACTCTGCTTTGCCATGGAAGGGGATGTAGCCACAGGTTCTGGGGATCAGGACGTGGATATCTTTGGGGAACCATTATTCTGCTTACCACACTAGGCACTGCGTATTTTCTGACTTGAGTTAGCTTTAGGAGCCAAGCATAAAAAATTTGACTTTCTTCAAATTATGTAGTATGAGGTCTTTTTAAGTTATTGCAAGTCTAGTCTTTAGGACTATATTCATCTGCATCACATTATTAAAGGGAATTGTGTAAATGAGGAAGATGTAAATTATTCAGAGAGCTGTACAAAATGTTACTAAGTAGGTATAAAAGTATGAAGCTGATGAAATATACTATAATAAAGGATGGAAATTTTGTCTTATTCTTAATAATGAACTGTAAGTTCTAAGAGTCTACTTGTGAACTGCTCTGCAAGTCAGCCCAGGGAATTTAACATAGGCTCTTAAAGCTCCCCTCACACCTTGTGAAACAGTAAGATTGAAGGTGTAATCCTTTAGAATTGACGCTTTTATAGAGGAAGTTCCAGTAGTGAATTTCTGGGTAGAATGGATCTCCCACTGGGGTGTCATCAGTTAAGGTGGGAGGTGATTTCTGAGAACTTTCAGGTTATTATTAATTAAATGAGAATATTGATTGCTAGCAAATGAGTTTTTCACATGTCCTATTTAGAGGTAGAGTTGTGGGTAACTTTTCTATGGGAGATTTTCTATCATAGTTTATGTGTTATAGCTTGCAAAATACATTACCTCACTTAACTGATAAAACAGTCCTATGAGGTATTAATAGTTATGGCAGGTACTGTCATTACAATAATTATATTTATATCCATTATATTTAAGTTTATGATCAAATATTTAAGGTATCATAAAAGGTATATAGAATTATATATACATATGCATCATCTAATTTAAAAATAAAACATTTACTTACAAAATGCGAAGTCAAGGCTCAGATTTGCAAAAGCAAGTAACCCATTAACAGAAAAATGATTGGCATCCACTTAGCTTTTCTACCTATTAAAGAAGAAAAGAAACAGTATAATGAAGAACTAAGAAAATAATTGGCAATTCACAGAAGAGACCATGTCCGTGGAAAGAGTGGCATTTATCTGACAGAGATTAAGTATCCAGAATATATAAAGAACCCCTATAAATCAATAAAACAAGCTAATAGAATAACAGGCAAAAATACGAATAGGCAATTTGTATAAAGAAAAACCCATGCTCATAAATCTCTGAAAAACTACTTATAACTCTAGTTAATCAGGTATTATTTTAAAAATCATTTTCCAGATATGCAAATTGGATGCAGGGAGGTCGAGGTGGTTGGACCAGGTTCAACCACGATGGCAGCTGTTGGAGCCTGGCCTCATGCTGTTCCCACTCCAAATATGTAGGGAATATCTTTTGTAAGCCTTTCTCTTATGCTCTCATCAGTCATAGTATTTTGTAATGTACAGAGAAACTAATGTCTAATTTAGATGTAGTAATTCAGCTATAACTTAGGTAGAAGGATGGGAGAAGTGTGGAGAAAAGCCAATAATTGTAGTAAAATGTTGGTTTAAGCTTTTGGACTCCCAGTATGTCTTTTCATTTGGCAAACTGCCTTTGGAACATTTTGACTGAGCAATTACTCCCAGGCTATACAGGCATTTCATTTGTGGCTTCTTTATTCATTTTATTCATGCTCCTGCTGGGATTGCTGTGATTATGGCTGTAATGAAACTGGACTTCTTACTTCTTTTCTTTTTGGTACAAGCATAGGTTAAGCAATAAAACTTAGAACACAAATTAATTGATTTTTTTTTTTTTTTTGCTGCTGTTGTCCTGATGTGCATTTTGTTTCATAATGTCTTGCTCTGAGACTTGATATATCTTAAGAATTTGGGGTCTGATTTTTAAAGCGTTCTCTCTACATGGGTTGGAACACTACTTCTTAATGTAAGAAGAGATGAAATTTCTCCTCTTAGAGTTCCCATATCTAGAATAGTGAAGATCTGATTCTCCATAATATGATACCTTTTAAGTTACTTCCGCCCTTAGGTCAGGACCTGCTTTGGCATTTTATATCACCTATTTCCTAAAAGTCCTTGCATTTGCTCTTATTAAAAATCTTCGTTGATGTCTGTTACTGATTGTAAGTACAGTTGAAGAATATACACAAAGGAGACTGAATAGTAGAATTAATAGTTCAAGTATTTCTAAACATAAAATTAA